CCTTGCAGGGAGCCTTTGCAGCGTTAACCTCAACCAACCAGGTGCACTGAAAATCAATAAAGCAACAAATAGTTTTTCAGACACAGTTAATTTTGTGAATGGAGACCTTGGCTTTGCTGCACTGAAAGACATTTTCAGAAACTTTTTGTTTGAATCCTCACTCTCCTGAGCACCTAATATGAGAGTTTGCTGCCCTCTGATGGACATTTGGAGAACCTCTCTCATATGAAAGACACATAAGACACTAAAGAGAGGTCCATATCCGTTCACTGGGACCTCTTTTCTACCTGAATTTCTTCACTTTTCTGCCTTTACTGATTATTTTTACCCCATATTTAACCAAATAAAACTCACATAGAGATACGAGTCTCCTTTTTCAAGGGAGACCTGTCCAAGAAGGTTGCAAAAAGACGACAATAAATACAAACAAACAAGAAAAATGGCCCAAAGCTCACTGACACATGCAGTCTGTGGTTACAGATACATGTGGGCCAGTTGGTGTTGTGAGGCTGTTAAAGTATAATGCTGGCATTTATAAAAAAATAATCTGTATATTATTATTATTATTATTATTATTATTATTATTATTATTATTATTATTATTATCAATTAGAAAACAAACAAATAAAAAGTATTTCCTGTGTAGACATTACAAACAGTACATTTTAAAAAGGATTCATCATTAGTTTGAATGTAAGAAAAACAATGAAACATTAAAAGTTGTGTTAAATGTGTCAGTTCATCTTTCATATTGTTTTTAAATGTTAATATTGATAAATTAAATTAAATGTAAACTCAAAACTCAAAATTAATTATAAAATGCTTTAAATGATTACTTTCTGTTATTAAATTATCTGATTGTGGATTACAGTAGCAGTTATATATCCCATCACACAGTGAATTTGTCTCCTTATTTAAATGTCAGAGCATTTTGTTTCTAATATCTCATTTGCAAAACAGACAATATTTGTTGTTAATAATAGAAATAAAAATGGGAAAAGTCTAAGTCATAGTGGGAAGAATTAAACCACTGTAACATCCACCTGAAGGTTTATTTTTGAAACACTTTCCTGTTTAAGAACACGTATGTGCTTGTTCTGATATCATGTGCAGGAGGGTTGTAACTGCCATAAAAGTGGAAATAATGTTATTTCTCATACAGCAGTTACCTCTTACCTGCACCACACACACACATACAGAGAGAGAGAGAGAGAGAGAGAGAGAGAGAGAGAGAGAGAGACTCACATATGGAGGCTGTCTCAATCAGCTCTAATGCAAAGTTCTGGTTAAACATTGGCCCAAAGTTTGCCTTCCGCCTTCTGTTGTTTTTACACTAAAGGTCCGGCAATTGTTGCAGCCATTATTGACTTAGTAATTAAAGTATTTTAACGTGGGGATTCTGTAATCATTACATATGCCACCATCTGTCCCTGCGCCGCTGCATGAGCACCTGAAATGGATTTTTCCTCCTGAGTAGATAACGTATAAAAACCAATCAAGAAGGGAGGAGGGGAGCGCAGCCACGTCACCACCATTCATCTACAAAAGTCTGACTCGTGCCAATATGTTTGTTATTTATTGTGGTTTTATTAAATATTTGGCTTCTGATTTGATGAGGTTTTCTCTTTAATGCATTAAAAGAGCAAAAGAAACCTGCAATAATATCATTTTTAAATTAGTTTGTGATTATTTATTTATGAAAACACTTCATAATTAGCCTACTAGTAATGTTAGTATATATAGTATTTTGCATATTCTTAAATCTTATGGTCATATTTCCATTATATCAAAATCTCTGAATTAAATTGTACTGAATTGGAAATTTTTGGTAAATAAATAAACACATTTTGCTGTAAAAATAGTCTACCTCACATGACACAATATAATAATAGAGAGATAAACTATTGGAAAACACGTTTTACACATAAACAAAGTAAAAAATAGTCCATTAAAGCAACCTGTTGTATAAAACTGTGTAATAATGCAGAAAAATGTCCTAACAAAAAAAAAAAAACAATCTTTATTAATTTGAATAAATAACCTTTTTCTTCAGGTCATGATATAAAGAGAAATATAAAAGAAAGTGCCTTTAACTTGCCATTTCTTTTAGCTTTAACATAACTGGTGTAACAACATAACATCTGAAGTGAAACTACATTTCATGGGTCCAATTGGTCAGTTGAGTTACCAAAATGTGAAATTTGTCTACAGACAACCAGACAATTTAATGTACTGTATAATGAGGATAAAGTTTACAATCATAAATTAATAATTTATAGATATTTTGTTGTTATTTTGTTTGATTTTCTGCGTAACTAATAGTTAAATTACATTGCTTTTTCTAGGAAACTTTACTTTATCTGGATAGTCAGCCTACAGATAGTTTACAGAGTATCTCTAACTCTAATGTGTGATTATTCATACCCTAACCAAGACTATAACAACTATAACCAAACCTTAACAACAGTGGCGTAATATCTATGAACAGTTATTGAATATAAACTAATGAGCTCTTGAAGTGTTAATCTATAAACTCTCTGTAGGCAGACTGTCCAAATAAAGTGTGACTGTAATAATTAGGAAACTGCAAACTGGAAAAATTGGTTTTTAAAATGTGAAAGTGATAGTTTCAGGTCAAATTTATGCCTTATGTGCTTTTCCGTTCTTATAGTACAATAATAAACGCAATGGTTAGACAGTGGATACATACAAGCAGTACAATTAAATATTTCAGTGCCATAAAACAGGTGAGTTCAGGACATTTTAATCCCCCCACAAACGTATTTTCTTCTCTATTTAGTGAATTCAAAAGATAAATCAGTCTGTGACAGATAAAAGGTTTTTTAGTGTTTTCTCAGAGGAAACCGACCACACAACTTTCATCTTCTGCTTTTATGACGTCCCATCTGCTCCAGTACCGACAAACTCAAGAGGAGACATGTTTCAGATGTTTTACTGAGGTCACTGTAGTGTGATATTAACAGCTCACTCTCAGACATCCTCCCCTCCCGGCCCTCCCTCTCTGCCTCTCTCCCTCTGTTGGTTCTCGTAACATTTTCGCAAACACTTTTATCTGAGTCATATCTCCCTCCCAATGTGCCGCAGACAAAGCAAATAATTACGAAAGCTCCCAACTTTGATCCGCTTGTCTTCTATTGTGATTCCGTCCTGTAATCTCAGATTTCAGCCATTAAAGAGTCGTGTGTTTAACGCTTTGACACAAGGTCTTTGAATCAGGGGAGATAAGGATCCTATTGGGGTCTATTATTGACTGGAAGTCAATCTGCTGCAGAGGCGGACAAAAGCAGGATCTGTTCCCTGTTCTGTCCTGTTCAGTGTCTCCATTATTACAGCAAATAGATAAAACAGGCAACCAGAAGCAACGTGGTAATAATTCATGTAGTCAGTAGAGCTGCTGCAGCTACTGGAGACACTTAATTTAGATTTTTAGCCGCACTAGTGCCGTGGCTCTGTGGATGGCAGTGTCAGCAAGGCGTTTCAGACTAAAATATCTTAACAACTATTGGATGGATTGCTATGAAATCTATTACACAGACCAAAAAAAACCTACAAACCTACACTAATAAGATTCCTATCAGACTCAGTTGTAAGCTAAGATGGTGACTATGGTTAATTAGGCTATACCTGCTGTGAGCATGTTGGTATCCTGATGTTAGCATTTAGCTCAACGCACCACAAAACGTGTGGATTGACAGAAAGGATTATTTTAAAGATCTCCTCCAGACATGTACTAAGATATGTACAAATAGTTTGGAACAATAATTTTTCATTTAAAAAGAAGTGTTTAAAATCCTTAAAAGGGCATTTAGTCCTTCTACCTGAAGTCCATGTCACAGTGTTTGTGCACTGGTGGGTTAAAATTTCTTCAACACATTTGTAGAAGTTGCATACTGGACCAGGATTGACTTCCAAACTATTTGTGATCAGCAGATGAATGTGAAAACATCATTCTAGGGTCAAACTCTGCACAGACATCATTCAAACATCACACTGTAGGAACAAGAAGAAACTGATTTTTGACTGGAGGGGGGACTTTAATTATTAATTAATACCTGGGTTAGTTTTTAAGTTAATTGTTTAGTTTATGGCTTTCTTAAATTCCCAGAGTCCCACAGTGAGTTTTAAATCACTTGACTCGTCCAACCAACAGTCCAGAACCTACTGATATTCAGTTTACAGACGGAGAAAACCAGTAAATCCTCACATCAGAGAAGGTGGAACCAGCAGCTTGATATCAAAATACCTTTGATTGACAAAATGATTAATTAACTGATTGTTTCACTAACTGACTTAAAGCAGAAAAAGAGTGTCTTAAACAGCCTCCACAGTCTCTTGACTCAATACTACTGTACACATTTGGTGAAATTTGCACTCTGGGAATCAACAACTTTGTATTTTAACTACACATTGACGATGGGGTTTCTAAAAGCCCTCAAAAAGAAATGGAAACATAAAACCAAACACAAGCTGTTTAAGCTGATTCAGCCTCGATTATTCTCTGATCTGACACTGCAGATAAAGTCTGCACCTCGCAGCAACAATAACAACCTCACTTAATGAACTACACCTAGCCATTACATCACCACACTAATGAGTATATGTCAGTTAATAATAGTGCTGTTTATGGCTGCTTTCCACTTGTTGTCCCGTCAATGAATTGAGAACAGTGTTGTGACTAACAAAGATTTTATTTACAATTTGCACACAAGAGAAATGGAAGTCCTCAGGCATAATTTAGGAACTAAATCAAGTCAAAGTCTTTCTGTGTGAATGACTGAAAAATACAGTTGTGGATATATGATAAATATCTGCATCAGAGTCATAGTTTGTATGTTTTTAAGTAATAATCCACATTTTAATACAAATAAATATATTTCTTTTGCTCCTCCTTCAGTCTTTTAATAAAACAATTGCCAGATCTTTACATATATATATATATATGTATATATGTATGCTTCCTTAGCTGAGGTTCATACTGTACCTTACAGATCTGGGTTTGAATTTGGCAGGGTGTACTCGTCACTCGTCACCTCATTCGCTCCATTTTATCCAGACCACCTCCTAGCGTTAGTTCATACGTACATTCTGGGTAGCTCTGAATGAACCCGGACTCCAAACCTAGCTCCAGTAGACGCTTTGAGTCCTGTGCGTCACTGCACTCCTCCTGCTCCCATGAAGACAGTGTTGATGGGAGGCAGCGAAGACACCAGGTCCTGCACATCTGAGGATGACGGCACACGCTGCTGAGAGAGCAACGTGTCCTGCGAGGTGAACGGAGAGGGGACGCCAAACATACAGGGAGCTGATCCTGAGGAGGGGAGGGAATGATCTGAGGAGGAAACAACAGAGATGTAGATTTAATCTTTTTAAGGGCAATGCATGATGTAATTTACATTTCTGGTCCTCTTATTATGGGTGCTGGGACTACGGGTGCAGAGGGGGCTGCAGCAACACCTAAAATCTGCCATAATGAAAACCATTAGTTTATCCTTTTTTTTACACACTTTTATTTATGGATGGAAAATAAGTTTTGCCTTGTTTTTCTTAGTTTTATCCACTAAAAAGTTATAAAATGTATGTAAAGTGTTGTTAATAACTATGATATAAGATATAAATGATCTCAAATTACTGCAAAACATATGGACAGATTTTCTCTCAGCACCCTTAACTCTGACTGACTTTCAGCATTCCTGCCTTTTAATAGATTTTTTATTTTTTTACTCTGAATTTGACCTTATTTATGTGCTGGGAAATTCAAACCTGCAATGACTGATTTTTTGGCCACTTGGGGGCAGTATAATGAAGCTGTGAACACATTGTTATCTTTTATCACCTTTCAGTTTATAATTTTGTTGCACACCATATTCCTTTATTGCACACTGCATATAGTGTTTATATTTTCAATATAATGTTTATATTTTCTATGATATCTTTAAGTTATTTTATTCTTCATCTTATTCTTTTTGCACTTCATTTTCACTGTGCTGCTGTGTCAGACTTGAATTTCTCAATAAAGGGGAACAATAAAGGAACATCTTATCTTAAATTGAAATGCAGGAGCAGATCTAGAGGGGCAGTAAAAAAATGCTTGGTCAAATTTAACATATTAACTTAACTTTTATAACTTTTTTTTTTACCATATTTGCTGAAACATTCACTATATCCTGACAGCAGTTCATGAGACAGATCATCTGTTAAAAGATCTGGTTCCTCTGATTCCTCCTAGTGCTCCTAATGGTATTTGCAAGAATCCACCAAGCCTGAATGAAAACAACCAACCAGAGCTGAGAAAGATTTGATCCCAGCTCATCAGATACAGACGCAGGGAGACTCCAACAAACCAAAATGTCTTTCTATCTCAGAATTCTTCATTTTATCTGGTCTTCGCTGTTTTCAAGAAACTACGAATACCAAAACACTGTCATTATTAAAGTATTTACGTAACATATTTTTTACACTGATTGGTTGGAATGAATCAAACTGAGTTGAAATTGATTATTTTGTGGATGTTTTCATAATTAAATTAAATTGACTGAAAAATGAAAATATGATTTATCTTTCTATTAATAAAGACCATAATTCAGGTGCCAGTGCTCATTTTGTGTTGCTAACTTACAGTAAGAAAATTAAAGAGTCCCTTTAACTTAACAAAATGTTTTAATAGAAGAAAACCTTTGTGCATATACCACCCCTCACCCACCCTGACTCACCCCCCCTCACCCCCCCAGTATGTTTAACCGCTCACCTGCTGCAGCTTCGGCCTCAGTGAAATACGCCCCCGTCGCTTTCCTTCCCGGCTCGTCCAGGATGTTGAGCGGATCGTGGACCTCAGAGTACCCTGAAGGGAATGGGCGCAGGCTTCCGACAGTGCTGATGACTGACACGTGCTGGTCAACCAGTGATGTCATGCGCTGGCTATCCAGGTAACTGCTGTTGCCATAGTAACCTGCAACAAGGGGGAAACGTTTGGCATTGAGTTTCTGTGATTATAATTTGGTGCTATTTGTTTTGTGTACATAGAAGAAGAGTTGTTCCCAGCATGGGGAGTTTGGGAACCAACAAAATTAAGTTTATTTGCTTTTTTCTTTGATCTCTGAATGTCTCTAAAAAGTCTTCAAATGAAACCGAAAACAATTACCTTCATTTTAAGGGGTCACAAGCCAAACAGCAAAAGTTTTTTCTTCAACTTTTTCTTTATACAGAACAAAAGTCAAGGTTGGGAACCACTAACCCAGAGTTTAGTCTGGCAACATATTGAAATTTCCAATTTCCTGCTCAGGTCTTTTCCAGGTAAAACAGTCAGAGTGAGTGATTCTGATTGATGTTTTTTGTGTTTTGTTTATGTCTTTTAAGTGAAATGTGTCAGAAGACATCGACTATATGCAGATATTTGCAGCTAAAAAGCACAAAAAACTGAAATAAGTGGCTAAATGTATTGCAGCAACACAACACAGAACACCCTAACCTCTCACATAATGTTTTTATAATGATAATAAATATGTTTCCAATCAGTAAAACAAAACCACAGAGTACATATTCTATATCTGCCTCTCCTGATACTTCATTGAAGCCACATAAGACTTCCAATGAGTAAAATACTTAAAGCTAAAACAACATGGTAGCACCATTATATCTGACAGAAATAGTAAAGCTGTCTTGTGCATCATTTGACATTTATTTCTCTGCAGTGACATATTTAGGATCCTGACTAGAATTAATGAAGTCCTGTAGGACCCACCAGATGATATTTCCACATTAAAGCCACAGTCTGAGTCGTCCTTACCGTTGTGTCCTGCAGCAGAATACGCCTGCCCCTGACACCCACCGCCCGCGGGGTTCAGTCCAGCCCCCACAAAGCCGAACCCCTCTGCTGAGTCCAGAATCTGTGCCGTTGTCTGAGCGTCCAGTCCCTGTTCAGTCTGAACCGGATCTGAGCCTGAGCTGTAGGTGGATGTGGGTCGGACTGCAGAGCCATAAGGTGTCAGGGAGCAGTTGGTGCTGTTAGAGGAGTGATGGGCCGACGGCTGATGATGACTGTAGAAGACATCTTTATTCAGGGGTTGGTCGTTGAAGGAGGGGTACCGAGAGAGATGGTAGGCCAGTGATGAAGCCTGAGACAGACACTGGTTCTGAGTCTGAGGCCTGAAACGCAGATCAAACACACCTTCAGACTTCATAAAGACAACAAAACATCTTTTATTGTACTGTTTGTTGATTCAATGGTAGACAGAAACTTAAGGACTCAACCTTTACAGTTTGATTGCTGCATGTTTTTAAAAAAAATATATTTTTGAATAGAATTGACAATAAAAGCTCCCTGTAGCTCATGAAAGTAAAATGTTTTTATGTTTTAATGTGAAAAAAATATTGTATATAGTTTTTGTATATAGACAAATAAATAGACAAGTATTTCTTGTAGATATCATTTCATTTTCCTTTTTATTTCTTCCTTTAGTGCTACTTTTACATACTTTATTGCCTATTTCATTGTTTATATTCTATTGTAATTTAAATATTTAAATATCTGTTTATATATGTTCTGTGTGTGTATTATATTGTATAATCATATAATCATTGAATTTGTAACAAAAAAAAACAAGTAACAATGTGACAAAGCAGGAAAAAGAAAAGATAATGTTTTTAATCATAAATCATATTAGACGCAGATGACACTGGATTGTATCTTATAAAATCGTGAAATAGAATGTGGGCACCAGTAAAGACACAACACTAAATGAAGCTAACCTCAGTCCAGGTTGGTAGTTTGAGGCTGAGGATCCGCTGGCTGGAGGGAAGTAACCAGAGCTGGTCTGAGGTAAGCAGTGGTACAGGGTCTCCGGGTATGAAGAGCAGGGGGTTGGCTGGGTCAGGGCGCTGAGAGAAGGCAGGCAGGAGGAAGTGGAGGAGGTGCAGGTAGAGGAAGAGGAAGAGGATGTCAGGGGTCTCCCCGTCATGGGCCCCTGGTTGATGACGGAGCCTCGGTGCACGAATGCTGCTGGAGAGATGGGCGGCGTCATGAGGGGGCCGCTGAAGTCCATCTGAGCACCTGTGTGTGTGTGTGCAGAGGGAAAAGCAACTGAAACGGATGTGACTGTGTTATTATAACATGGTTGGTTAAATTAGTATTAGTAATGGGAAAGATACCCTAGAGAAACCCCGCAGAGAATCACAAGTATTTTAGGGTTTTAGTTTTGTGGCCTGAAACGTAACTATTTTGATTCAGTCTCATCCGCCTCGTTTTCAGCAAAAAAAAACCTCTAAAAACTTCCCTGTACATCGGTGGTTCCCAACGTTTTCCTTAAGGGACCCCTTTTCTATCAGTAAACTTACATATAGTCACATATTTTATGGATATTTCCATAAATTCCATTTTCATTATATTCGATGCATAACAATAACATTATAGAACAACTGTTAAATTTAGCATCTAATCCAAAATGACCTATTTTGATAAATTCTCAGTAGATTATTTCCTGTAAAATTTTACATCAGAGATGAGTTTTCTGGATATTTTCAGCGACCTTTTATACCATCCTTTGTCTTTACTATGAATTTTTGGATTTTGACAATCAAACAAACCTAATAGGCTTGTTTTTTGACACATTCAGTGTTTTCTTCTCCCTAACACTTGGCCATTCTTCTATTAGCTGTTAACTTAACGATCAACTATTTGGTACTTTTTTTCTTCTTTACAAGGCTTATTTTTGTGTTTCTTTTACCTGAAACTGAGAACCCAGCAGGCTCTGTCCCCTGGTAGATGATGGTGCTTGTCTCCAGACTTTGCTGCTGATTGGTGGATAAAGACATGTAGGTGTGTTCTCCCAGAGACTCATTCTTCACTGATTGGTCGATGGCAGCACTGGCCTTGTTGCGGTTAGCCAGGAAGCAGGAACTGGGAGAGGCCATGAACGCTGCTTTACTGGCATCTGAAAGTGACATTAAGTCATTGACAACAACATCCAGGGCTGTTTGAGACATACTGGAACAGTTATTTTTTATTATTATGTTGCATGTTGGGATGTAATGTGATAATAATTAAACTAAAACTTATTATTCATTCACTTTATATATGTTGGATAATTTAATTCAATTAAACTCAGCCTCAACTTCAGTCACTTTAAATATAAATTAACAACTATATTTAGTATGTTAAGGAAAAGACCCACAGATTATTTTTTGTTAAAGGGAAGATATTATATTTATTGTATAACAAAAAATACTAATTTGGATCATTTAACTATGATGCAGAAGAAGAATTTATAATCCTAAAAAAAATATCTTTATTATCCTCATTCATTTATATTCCATTTAACTACAATCTATGTATTCTCTTGGTTTTATGTCTCTTTGTAAGTCATACTATATAGTCCCTCCAGCATTTTACAGGCTTTTTAGGGGGGGATTGTTTTGGCCTAAATTGCCTGATTTTACAGCAGCTTTTCTTAAGAGTTGCATTGCATCTTGCGATTAGATAAAATTGTTACATTGCACAGAATTAACAGGTTGAATTTGCATTACTTATTGCGATTGCAAATGTGTTATATAACAATAATGATCTCCTTTATCATCCCACAATGTTTGTAACATCTGTAAACAGGACTTTCCCTTTATCATGTCCCTGATCCTAAAAGAGAAATCTTGACAGACTGTAGACCTGCTGTAGATCTGATTCGAGTTCGTCTTTGTCAGCTGCTGAACTTCTCTGCATCAGTGTGGGTTCTGTTGTTTGATACCTGCATTTTTCATGTATTTGTCCAGCAGGTTCTGCAGGTCCTGCTCCTTGTCGTTGTTGAACTGAGTCTCCAGAGCCAAGAGGATGTATTCGTCCAACAGCATCCTGATCAAGTGGAAGGAACCTATTGATAGATAGAGCACAGAATGATCTCTTTGTGCATCCACATTTCAAACTATAAACATTCTTTCAAAAACATCTGACTATCTGATCACAGCTGAGCTTCTTGTTTATCTACTGTTTGACCTTTAGGATCAAGCTGCTCTTTGTTTGACCTGCAGGGTCGTAGGTTGAAAACCTTCTGTGTGTGTTTGAGCCTCCAAATGGTTTGTGTTTATTCACATACACGCACTCTGTGTGCGTGTGTTTGAACAGAGAGCACGCGACCCGCAGATAAGACTTTGTTTAATCAAGGCGAGCCTGGCCATTACAATTTATGGCGCTGTTGTAGCAATCTGCTCCGAGCTGGCTTGTATTAGCCTTAGTGTGTGTGTGTGTGTGTGTGTGTGTGTGTGTGTGTGTGTGTGTGTGTGTGTGTGTGTTTGACACATCCTGTAGACTGAATAATTTAGAATAAAAGAGTCCAGAATTAATAAGCTGAGTGACAGTTATTAATTTCATAAATAATATTCCCCATGTTGTCATTATGTTCAATATGTCGCTTTTATAAATTCAGTTTTAATATAACCTGATTAACTGTGATACTGTAGGACCAGTTAGACAAGGGACCTCAAACTGTCGGCCCAGGGACCATTTCCCAATGTCCATCGCCCTGCCTCCCGCCGATATTATACAATCCGACCCGCAAGATTATTACTTTTTAAATTCATTTTTTCTAGTTGTTTCATATACATTTAAAGTACCCCTTCATATACAATTAAAAAATATACTTTGTTTGGCGCAATATCATGGCAAATGCGTGCAAGCGGTTGATAAGAAAAGAGCAGATTTCAGGTTTTTGTTTGGTGACGAATGATGATATAAAGTTAGTAATGGAAATATTTTCAGACAATTATTATATTATCACATTTATACCATTTTTCCTTCCTGATACAGATTCTGATACCTGAACTTTGTCCATCAGCCGATACCAAGTACCAATCCGATGAATTATCTAGTCAGTCAAACTGCTGACATTAAGCTCTGGCTAACATTACACTACCAGAAATCAACTTTGCTGTTCTAAACCAGTAGTTGCCAGTGCCCAGCCAATCAGAGTCAGAGTAATGACTTCGGCATCTGGATGCTGCTGGGAAGTAGCAGGGTCCCATTTTGGGGCTAATAAATAACGTAGTTTTGGATCACCCCAGTATCTGAGAATTTACTGATATCGGTGTCGGATCAACTGTGTTTACCAGTTACATCCCAGAGCTGCTGGACATCGGGACTCAGTGGCCCCCCTCACATCTATCTGATGTTTTACATTAGGTACTATTCATTTAAATCAATAATGTATACTTTTCATAATTGTTTATGTGAACAACAAGACAGGCGAACAAATGTTTGGTTTTGGTGTGCCACCCCAAGATCTTCAGTGGCGCCGTATGCCCACTCCTACAAAACATTTCTTGGGGCAATGGGAGCAGCATGTCCCTCATTACCACTACTGTGATTCCCTTGAGGAAGGCACTGAACCCCATCTGCTCCAGTGGCTAACAAGTCAGACTGGGATTGTACTGGACAACTTCCAGGTGTGAATGTGTGTAACTGTGTAATCAATGAATTCCTGCACAGGAGACTCTTTCAATGAAAAGTTGTTAAAATACCCTTTCACTCTGTGTCTTGTAACCATTAGATGCCAAGAATATGTAACTTCTGAAATGTTCTCACCAAAGCTGGAGGCATTGTTGAGAGTGAGGTTGTGCATCACTCTGGCACCGAAGAAACTCCACCTAAGGAGAAAATCCTGAGCTCGCTTCTTCACCGATCGACCGCTCTGCTTTCCGGGCTGATAAGAGACAAAGGCGGAGGAGAAAAACTGTTTGGTTGCATCACAGGACATTTGAAGGACCACATAGTGCGTCAACATTAATGCAAGTATACACAAAGCACCAGGTAAACAGCTGTTACCTTGATGACTTTATGCTCCACGACGGAGTCCAACCACTCAATGAAGGACTCCACTGTGGCGTTCTTTCTCAGCAGCTCCTTCAGCTCCTGAAAGACGGTGATGGAGTCATCTGCAAAGAAAAAGACCACAGGAAGTGAAAGGGAGTTGCTTCATCATCAGTACAAGAGATTCTCATACAGTTGCTGGTTGTTTCTTTACTGTTAAAAGCTGTTTTCTTTAAAAGTCACATCAGTTAATGGGTTATCTAATATTGGACTTTTATTAAAAAGCTAATATACACTGTAAAACCTGACAGCACATCTTAATGAAAGAAGTTAACGTAAATTTATCCTCCGAATGAATTGGGATTACTCATTAACATAAATTAATCCAAACTCAAAAAATAAATGTTAAAGTAACTCACTTAAATTTGTGCATTATTTCAAGTATTGGTGATATTATTCAAGTTATTTCCACTGACTAATTTTTTTAAAGTTGACTGAAACTTTTGTTTTTATTTCAGTTTATTAATCCTCATTATGCATCAGAATAATTCTTAAAGATCGAAAAAGAAGAAGATGTACTTTATTAATCTCCTAGGGGAAAGTGTAAAGAGTTTAGTTTATCACATAAAAAATACCCCAACAAAATGAATTGGCTACCATTTTGATAATCATGGATTACCTGTTTTCGACAGTTTTTCTACTCAAATTAAATATCTCTGATGCTAGAATTGTTTGAGTTAATAAACTTGAAACAGTTTCCAGTTTGAGTTACACTAACTCATCAGGTTTAAATATGAGCGAGATGTTTCAGTAGCTGTCTCACACTCAGAGTAGATGTCGGGGTCCTGGTCTCCGGTTGCATTTACACTGAGCAGAGGCTGCGAGCTGATGCTGCTGAGATCCACGTTGTCAATATCTAACACCATGCTGGTCACCACAGCCTGGTCAAACAGCGCCGGTCGGGCTATCTGGAAAACACAGAGAGATTAAATAATGACATTAGAGTCTACTGTAATCTACGTAATCTAATCTGTTCTTTGTTGAAGTGTTGTACCTGTGCCAGGTGTAAGAACGAGGTCTGTCTCTTCAGGGAGGAAACAAAGTGGCGAGCTATGGGGAGTTTCTTGGCTGCAAGGCATTCTGGGAGGTTCTCCAGGGAGGAGGCCAGCCAGTGCTCCCAGTGTTTGGCAAAGTTGCGGATATCTGCCAACAGACTGATGAACAACATTTACTCAGATCTCCTCTCAATTCCCAATTAATTAATCATTCAAAGTAAATATTTGCTGCTTTTATCTGTTATGTTGTTCCAAATAACACTTTTAAGCGTTTTGGTCTGACTGGATTTGTAAAATCTACAGTAAAGAAGGTGAATTTGTATCATAATTGATGGGAATGATATCCAGAATTAGGATCCAGGGATCACAAATTGGTCTAAAGATTTCCGTCAATCAGGAAAATTCCCTCCAACGTATTGATCTTCCAGCATACAGCATACGGTTCAGCCTGGTATCACCAAATAATGAATAATACGCCAATGTCTTAAGTCATTTCTCAACGCCTTTATTTTGTCTTTTCACGTGTCATTTCTGGAGCGGGTCCTTTTCTACAGAGTCTGCCATGTTGAACCGCCATGTTTCTACAGAAGCCCAGAACAGACAATCCAAACACTGGCTCTAGATAAGGTCACCTTAGTTTCTCCTTCACGTTTGGAATAGGAGGGTGAGGCGAGGGCGTTGTAATTGTCAACTACGCCGCTAGATGCCACTAAATCCCACACACTGGTCCTTTAAGTAACTACTTATTTCAACCCAAACCATGATCTTTTCCTAAACCTAAACAAGTACTTTTGATCCCTAAGACCAAACCAAACTCTGACTAATGTGACTGTTGTTACCATGACAACAATGTCATCTGACTTCACATGGGGCACCCTTTGTAACAGCGTTAAATGTCACATAAAAAGCTTAAAATGAGTAGACATGAAAAATGTCCTTAAAAGTGCCGTGCTAAGAATATTACGTTGAAGGGTTATATGGAGGCTTCACAGGAAATGTACTTTCAACTTTTTAGAGCCTCAGATTGTCTCAGCAAAGGTTTCGTCTGTGTATCACATGAATATCACAACTGATACGACAATAATACGCGAAGTGAAGTTGAACTCACAAACCTTTCAGGCATCTCCTGCATCGTGGCGGGAATCAGAATGTCTGTTAAAACCTGCAAAAAGACACGTTAGTGAAACAGAGTATTTGTTTTAAGGCAGCAATGCATCAATAGATTTTATTGTTTTGTCCCAGTGATTCTATATTCTGTATAATACTCAGAAAGAACAACCTTATAGAGAATAGAGTCACAGACACAGAAGATGTCGACTATAACAGGGTTTTCCAGAAGCGGCAGCAGGTGGTCGGGCATTCCCTGCCAGAAATGGAGCAGAAAATTCTGGATCTGAAACAAAATATTTGAAGAGTTATATCAGTTTGAGTGGATGGTAAACTGTGTTGCTGGTTTTACTCTATTTGGTGCTCTATTGGAACAATAAAATGCTCTCATGTGACAGTAATCGTCACCTCCTCAAAGTTGACATTAATGGCATTGTCCAGGATGCACTGGCAGTGGGTTTTATACATCATGATCAGTGTGTCCACCTGCAAAGAGACAATGAAGACTGATTACAATGAAACCAGTGACAGCCAGCCAGCCCATTAAACAACTACTGCCAATGTAAAAATATTTGCTATATTTAGCATTTTATGCACTGGCGGACTCTTTGAGGGGCAGGGATGAAAAAAGAGCTTAGTTAGGATTATCCTGGTTAACAGATTGAATTAATATTCATCACCAACCTTTTCTCTGGAAATATTTCCCTGCAGCAGAAGATGCTGAGCGTTGGGAAAGTCTGGGAGCAAAGTTCCAGTTTTAGAGCTCAGAGAATATTTCCTGGTGAAACCTCCCTGAAAAATAAAACAATGTCAGCCCCCTTTTTAACTTTATTTTTTGGGATCTCAACGCTATTGATTTTACTTAAAGAGCAACTTAACACCCTCTGAAAACCTCCAGTGGTTTTACTTCTTATCTTACTACAGTGATGTAGAAGTGTACTCTAGGACTCTGTGACATCACTGTTGGCTGGTTACAGGTGTGCCACAGAGAATATACCTGACCGCACCCATCAGTAATACTTACTCTTAACACATGCATTGTAACCAGGGAGCATTCAGATGACATTACGATCATGTGATTAAAAGCAAAATATTTCTATACAAATCAATATTTTACAGCAGTTAATTAATGTTAATTAATGTTAATGAAATACACTGATGATGAGGCAGCTGCATTTGTTTTAGGATTATCTATCTTATCAATTACCCTGATGGGAGGAGTTTCAGATATTTAAAGGATCTCTTCAAGAGTCTCTGTTAGAAAATAAAAAATAAATAAATAACTGCTATACATAACATTTACAGACTTTTGACTACTTCTTTTCTAAATATGTTTTTGCACAAAGGCCCCCACAATAAATTTTGTCCATCACTGGATCTGCAACTTCTCCTGCGTTCCCTTTTTTAAGAGAGTTGAGGTGACAAACTTTAAACCAGAGATTGAAGCAAAATTCTGCTTTTCAGCCTGATGTTAAGTTTTCTCTTTAAGTAAGATTTACCATTTTAACTTACTTCGTTCTTGAGCTTGCTCCCTGAAAATCTGCAATCAAAGAGAAACAGATTTAAATCTTTTAAAATATAAATACATCATGTTTTGACACTGAGACCATTAAAAGTAAAAGAAAACACAACAGAGCTGTATGCCATGTGTTTAAAAGAGTATCAGAACGCGACTTTGATGCTGGACACACAAACAGTAAGATAACAATCAACAAGCAAAAAACATGCAGACACAATATAATATGCATAATGCAAGAAAGAACAAGAAGACCAGATTAAATGTTAAATGTTTTGTTACCTGGTCAAACCTTTTCCAGAATACACAGAGTGATAGTAAGCGCTGCTCTCTTTGATGCCAATTCCATAGTAGTGATATCTGTATAATGTCAAGGTAATGATATTAAATAATAATTATAAAGTGCAATGATTAGAAATAAAATGTTTGGTGCTCTAAGTTATTAAAAATGTGAAATAAAGACGAGTGAGTGAGTGTTTTGTATGTACTTGGAGTGTCCTCTGGTGCCCAGTCTTCTTGTTGTTAGCAGAGGAAACTTCTGTCGAATTGTCTGAAGAGGAAAAGAAGTTCTGGTTCGATCAATACGAGCTCCGTCCTCCACATTTTAACAATTTCATAGAGACATTTTTTCAAAATTGAAAATGAAATATTTTTATTATGTGACTCAGATTTAAAGTATATGTACAATATCTCTGTAATAAAGTGCAGATATTATTTTCTCCACTAAAAGGGCATCATTGAGGGCTATTAACACATTTTCTCCACTAGAAGGGCATCATTGAGGGCAATTTAACACATTTTCTCCACTAGAAGGGCATCATTGAGGGCACTTTAACACTTTTTCTCCACTGGAAGGGCATCATTGAGGGCACTTTAACATATTTTCTCCACTAGAAGGGCATCCTCAAGGGCACTTTATTGTTTACTTGCACATTGAGCCACCATATAGGGCACTTTATCATGTTTTATCTACTATAGAGGCATCCAAGAGGGCTTTTGTAGCTATCATCTGGGTTATTTAAGAATAATATAATAGAAAATAAGACATCTTGGACAATGAGGACGTTAACTGGCTTGCAACCACTGCAAAAACTGACACACACGCACACACACACACACACACACACACAACACACACACACACACACACACACACAAACACAAACACACACACACACACCTTTCCAAAGGTAGCAGCACAAGCCGGCTCTAGTTTCTCTTTCCTGCAGAAGTCCAGGTAGTGAGCATAGAGGATACATCGAGGCAGACACACTCCTTCACACACTATATAGTTCTCCTCCAGCCTGTTGTGACCCGTCAGAGAGGAGATCACACATGTAATTATAACAATATATGAAATGCTCAGTGAATGCAGTAACTGAATATAGTAAATGTAAATTCTAGCTTCACAACAAAGATAAATGGTGGACAGCAAAAGACTCTCTTTTATATTTTAGAGGTGAAAAAACAAACACAAAAAACAGTAATAGGAAAAGAGCGAATTGGACTCAGATTAACAGACAGAAATACAGCTTTTGGTTGCCAACAATAGTTAAATGGCAGAAAGAGGAGGAAGAAGTCATTCATGGTTGTAATTTTTCCCACAAAAATCCCACAGAATAATTGTTATTATGACTAGACGAGTCTTTGTTGAGTCTGTAAATGTTTGTACGTGTTAACAACATGAACAGCAGGTTCTTTAAGAGTGTTGGCTTAAGTAGGTTTACTCAAGTGCTGTACTTAAGTACAAATTTGAGGTACTTGTACTTTACTTGAGCATTTTCTGCAACTTTATACTTTTACTCTCCTACATTTGTCTGACAGCTTTAGTGACTTCTCAGACTATAATTTTTCATACCCTTTCTGTCCAGGGAAAACCACGTATCTCTAGATCTTGTGAATTTTACTTCAACAACCTGAAAGATTAAGTGTTCCTCGATGAGATTAGCTGGATAATACATTGTCTCAAAGCTAAAAAGAGGCCTGTGAAACGTGGTTCTCACAGGACATTGACACAGCAAACATGATGATCTTATTTCTCACATGATGATCTTATAGACTATGATACATTGCTGTAGATTAAACTACCCAACAGTACATAAAGTAGTTAAAATGAGCTCAACCTTAAACATCTACAGCAGAAAAAAGCAACATGCACATTAATGCAGCGGTGATATTAATCCAAAAACATCAGTTATAATAATAAAACACTGACAGGGAACATTTTACTGCATAATGAGTACTTTTGATCATTTAAGTACATTTTGCTGATAAGGTTTTGAATGCAACCCATTTACTTACAATGGGGATTTTCACAGTGTGATAATATTACTTTTACTTAAAGGATCTGAATACTTCTTCCACTACAGGCAGATACAGTGCCGGTGTCTCTTTACTGATGCAGTGTAAGCAGTTACTGATGCTCTCACCACTGCAGAGTGAGCTGTGTCTGTTTCTTCTTGTCCTTGATGATCTGACTGATGGTCTTTCTGGAAGACGAGATGCTCTGTTTGATGTTCAGCTCCGGGTTAAAGTCCGCCAGGTCCTGGTCCTCTTCAGAGGATGGCGTCTCATTACTGTCCTCCGCCTCTGAGAAAACATACAGACAAATACAGTACAAATGTCGTAAGAGGAGACAGGTGTGCTTTGTGTTGGGCACTGAACGTCAGGTTAGTGCTGGTTTTAATTCATATACTGCCATATTGTTGCATAGCAGAAACAACTGCTGTATCTCATTTGTTTCTTGTGCAATACAACATTTAAGAAATATCTCATTGAATATCAAAATATGTCAATTTTTAAATGTTTTGTTTTGAAAAGGAAGCCATGATAAAGTTGTTGGCATAACTTTTTAAATTTTAAAGTTCTGTTTTACTGCGTTGGGATTTGCTGATTCCTTTATTTTTATATAGTTTCATTTTATGGGGCCAAGAAACCCCCTTATAGAAACCAAATCCTTTAGTATATATACATGACGACTTTAAAATGTTTTTATATTCGATGTACTAACTCCCGACAGTAGCCACTATAAACCGATATAGATAATATATAAAATAAAATAAAAATTAAAAAATACCGTGATTCACCATGAAACTGCCAGAATCTTAAAGAATACAACAATATAAGTTTGAGTGCTGCCTTGCTGCTATAAAAAAAAACTAATATTTAAACACACAGATCAGAATCCAGACCGTCATTTCTTCACATGAGCTGAGTTTCATTATTGTTACACAGACGCTGGTTTTTCCATATCACTGTCGAGGACAGAGTGAAATAGCTTCATCACACTTTCTTCTTCTTCTTTAGTGTTAATTTCACCCAAAACCTTCTAATATCATGTAAAAACCTTGAATTGGTTTAATGCTCTTATCTGAGGTCAGATGCTGCACTGCACTGATCTTTCCTTAATGGAACATTTTTACATTTTATTTCTTTATATTTCTTTTTATTTTCAGTGTTTTCTTCTCAACCTCCAACAACCTCAGGCATTTCCTCAATAGATGTGCAGCTTTTATTTCTTAATCCAAACATCTGCTTTGAGGAGAATGTCAAGAAATTAGTTTGAAGTCCTGTTTTCTTCCTGTTTCTGTGTCCTTGAGAAAGTGATTTGAGCTTTCATTTATTACTGAACTTAAGCTGCTCCCTGGTGTGTTCCTGCACGGTAAACAATACGTTGTATGAGCTTATGTTGAGATTATTATTTTCTGAAGCTGTTCAGAAAGTTATAACTGCATTTTTAATGTTATTATGTTTAAAGGGAATGTTTTATTTGCTTTTTGGTCTAAATTTTCTCCCTGCAAACTAGAACAAAAGTCACTTCACGATCAGAAAATAGACAAACCTAAACACAATTAATATCATGTCACAATGATAAAAAGTAAGATTAATAATTGAAGCAATAATGAACAATCTAACAGTTAGAATAAATGTATTTATATAGTAACATTTTGTGTTTAGAGATATTTCAAGGTCTTATACACCCCCAATATATCCGACTGTGACTAATATTACAATACCTGAGCTGACAGAAGACGTGAGTTTGTACGTTTATTATTTAAAACTACAAAACAATTCCTAATTTGAATGTGAATTATAGCAACTCAACATATTTTTTACAAACTCTGTGGGACAATTTCCAAACTTATCAGAGGAGTTTTTAATGAGCACTGCAGGAAAGTGTAACGGTAAAAAAACTGTAGAACTGAAATAAATAATTAAAGAAAAAGGACAGAGTATAATTAAACAATTTAAACCTTATATAGTAAATAATTAACACGGCTACAAAGGGGCCATAAGGCTTCTGGAGCAAAGGAGGAGCTGATGAAACATTAAATCCATCGTAGTGTCAGAGTCGCATTTCCTGATATTACCATTTGTAAAAGAGCCTTTTGTGATGATGGTGATTCTCTTTTTGGTTAAATACAATGAATTTGATATTTAATAGCTCTAATATTAAGAATATGAAAACTTCTTTTTTGTGCAACCGTCATAATTTGTTGTTGAGGATTGTGAAAACCAGGAGAAAAGTTCATAATTCGAACAATAAATGAAGAAGTTTGGCATGAAACTAAAAATTGTACAAATTAGGATTCATGTTGAGTCACTAAATCTGTGGAAAAATAGTTTTTACTTTTACATTTTCAAGCATCTAAATACAAACCACCACTATATAACTGAATTTATTTATTCCACTCTTCTTTCCGTACTGATTCCTCTACTTCAGTCATGTACAAATTACGTCTCCCTTCGTGTTTAAGTCTCTTCATCAACATCTTTCTTCATACGCGTTGGTAAGGAAAATGTTTCTTAATAAAAATGAATGGGGTCTTATCCTGTCAGCTCAGTCAAGTCTGTCGCTGTAGCACCACCATGTGGTCAACTTGTGTCACTGTTTTTTTACCTGAGCAGATTTTAAATCTAACCACCTAAAAAGCTTCAGATTTAAAGTCTTTTAAGATTATTTCAAGAAAACAGGAGAAGATGATGGTGAAGAGATAAGAAGGATATTAATATAGAACATTAATGTTTCATCCATATTAATCTGACCTCCAATAATACTTAATTGATTAAGTATGTTGGCTTTCCTTACCTGATTTAATCCCAGAATCATCCTCCTGATGAAAATGTGTCTGTTTGTTAAAGTCTGTCTCTTCCGGTGAGCTGCACAAAGTCTTGGTTAGAGAGTGAATAAGAAACACTCCATCCCTGGTTGAGCTCTCACTGCTGCGTTTCATCGGCATAGTCACATAAAAAAACAACAAACGTCGATGAACAAATCAACCAAAGACGAAGAGGAAGAAGAAGAGAAGGCCTGCTGTGAAAAAAACGTCCACTGAAGCTCATTTGTCCTTAAGACTGTGAATCAGCTCTGCACACAGTCTTTAAACATTTGTCAATCCCACCTTCACACAAGTCCTGGAGAAGACACAAAAGATCACGTCCAGCATTTTATGTCCAAACACTGATCCACTGATCTGAAGCTAAAGAGGAAAAGGTGGTGTGCACTGCTGATGAACCTGACAGAGCAGCCTCAGACTAATAAAGCTGTGCTGTGGGAAGGCAGAGCTAATGAAGCCGTGGACGCATTCATCATATTTACAGAAGACTGGGGCTAATCCAGGTTATTAATGATTAACAGAAAAACCCTCATCCATCTGTCCATCCATCCATCCTGCCTGCCACAGTCAGCCGGCCCTCCGTGCACAAACTTATATGTGCATAAAAAACCAGCAGGGATTGTTCAGTTTGCTTTATTTTAAGTTGTGTTGTGTTTATGGGTTAGTTTTGAGCTTCATAAGTTTTTTATGTTTAAATAAATAAAAGAAAATAAAGTTGTTGTTTCAGCTGCATCCAACACATAATGGTTGTTTTGTTATCAATTAATCTGTTTTTTATTAACATTATTAAGAAATCAAAATATAAAATTATTTATTTTGTCCAAAGCCGCAAATATCACAATTAAGCTGCTGGCATTAGATGATGTTTAGCAGTTTTGCTTGATGAATGATTTAAATAATCACAATTAATGCTGCCAATTAATCTTCTGTCAATCTACTTATTAATCATTTAATAATCAAGTCTAATAAGACTTCGGGGGAGTTTTCTGTTAAAATATTTCATTGAAAATACAATTTAATTTAAAATGGTGTAACATGAGTTTTATTTTAACCAAAACCTAACCATAAATCCTTATGGAAATTAGATAATTCATTAATTAGGGTTTTCAAGTTAATTAAAAAAATAATAATAATCCAGCATAAGAACCTTAACATGAATACATTTTAAATGGGAGAAAAAGTACAATAAACATTTTTTTTTACTGAATTTCAAACTATGTCAACAGTCATGACCTTTGACCTTAGGGGGGGGGGTGTCTGAGAAGTAGGAAGCGAGGTCACGCACGTGCAGCGGGAGCTCGTGAGAGGTTCACATGAGGCGACACAAAAAGTAAGAAACAGTCAGAAAGAATCTTCCAGTAACGATGACAACCGGAGGTAACGCCGACCGGGGTGTTCGCTGAGCGTTGGGGGGTGTTCGCCGAGCGTTGCGGGGTGTTCGCTGACCGTTGGGACGAATTACGAAGCCAGCTCGTCCGCTGTTAGCATATTAACGTAGCTTAACACCGTTAGCTCGATGCTAGTTTTTACTGTCGCTAACTCCCTCTGAATGTCGGGTTAAACCGCCGTGAAAAAGTCTGGTGAGTCACGTCGACGTCTTCTTGTACTCTGAGGGTTTAGGGAAACTTTCTACATTTAGAAATGTTTTTTTTTTTTTTTGGTTCAGTAATATGACTAAAGTTTAAGCTAGTTGTGCTAGCTTCGTCTCCTCACAGGTTTAAGGTAGCCGCGCTTCTATGTTTGTGTTTTATTGTTTAAATAGCATTTAAATAAAGCAAATCTACCAAGGTGAATTCAGTTGGGTTTCTTTTAATGCTTCTGCAGATTTATTGTTGATAACTTGGCTTTGCATTGTATGAGAAATAAAGCTGCACAGTTAATTTAAATCACAATTTGTGCAAAGTGCAAGATGCAAAGTGTTTACATTTTTAAATAAAGGTTAAATGTGTGATTAAAATACCATTGTATTAAAAGTACTGTAGTACTGTAGAGATACCCTGGTCTACAAATCTTGTCCAGATTAAAGAAAAATTCCACACAATTGTTAATTCAATATTTTTTTTCAGTGAAAGTTTAATTTGTGATGCAGAAAATGATTATTTACACATTAATCGTGAATTATATCGCAACATCTGTCAAAATAATCGCCCTAAGATGTTTTTACCATATGGTTTAGATCAGGCAAAGTGCACTAATTTATTAATATCAGTGCCAATAAATGAAATAAAACCAAAGTGAGCAACATATTAATTTAAGAACTGCATAACTCTTTTAATAGCAAAATTACAAAAACAAAGAACAAATGTAATCCATGACCAGATATGCTCTTTAACATTTAATTCTGAGTTATGTTTTACGTCTAGTCGCCACCATGTTTTTAATAGAAGTGTTCTCTATGCACCATCTTAAAGTCATCTGAAAATTTAATCTATTCTAGACCACAAATATTTTTTTCCAAGATCAGTTAGATGTTAACATTGTCTTAAATAGTTTTTTGTGTTTATGGACTAAAATAACAAATCAGAAATTTGCCTGAAAGTGTTTTAAAATCAGTTAAACTTGAATGGGGAAAAAACACCTTCAATAGGAAAAATAAATACATAAATGAAATGAAGGTGTCAAAGTTAAGGTTATACAGGCTTAGTTATTCTTTAAGGGTTAATATCAGTGTTTGGTTCTTGTGTTTTTTTTTATGAGGGGTGAGTAAATCGATTTCTCTCCATTATTTCCCTCTCAGGTTCTATGTAGGATAAGACGGTTACTGATGCTGCTGCCATGCAGTCAGTGCTGGGCTCTGAACATCGAAAGTAAGTAAAATAGTGTATGTTCTTACTTAAACAGTAATATATGTAATTTTGTGTTATTTCCTAAGTGTTCTAATGACTGGTTGTGAAGTTGACAGGTTACAGGTTAAATTCATAATTTCCTATTCGTTTAAAGGTATATGCTTTAGTTGAGCACCAAATCTGACCATATAATTTTGTTTTTTGGCCTCCCAATTAAATGTGAAATTATCATTTCATGTTTTGTTATATCTTGAAGATAACGATCTCCATAAAATCAGTGAGCTACAACAATAAATGTTATTTCAAAATAAGGCAAATGAAAACAATCTGAAAGTAAATACCATATACAAGGAACAGGCATGGAGATCCTATTTACCATAAAGTACAGTGCACTATATTTAATGTAGTTTAATGTCTCAGTTGACTGCTCACTATAGAGTAAACTTTTGATTGTTGATTATATAGGGAATAGTGAATAAGGGAGTAATTTCAGACACAGTGCTGTGACGTAGGTCTTACTGTTGGCAGCTCCTGGTGCTTAAATGAAGTAAACTCAACAAATAATAAACACTTTTTAAAGGTCAATAATGTACGTCCTTTAAATTTGCAGGTCGCAGAATTCTGGTTCTTCTGTACCATGCGCCCTTTGGCCAGTGGACCTCAAGTTAACTCACTTGGACTGGAACCCTGAAGCAACCCTGATACACTTCCAGGGACAGTACCTGACCATATGTGACCTTGACTATAACATCTTGCAAGGGGAAATACAGAACGTACCAAAGACTAAAGCTGCAGTGGACATTGGAGAGTTTTGCCTCGTGGAGGATTTGACTTCAGCTCGCTGGTACAGAGGAAGAGTTCAGAACCGAAAAGAGGACTTGTTTGATGTTTTCCTCATAGATCGCGGCAACGTCTTGAGCGTTGACATTGCCAACATATCTTCCTGTTCAAACGACCTGTTCATCCTGCCTCCCAAGATAGTTTGTGGCTTTCTTGCGAATGTCCTGCTGCTTCAAGGTTGTTCTCATTCTGTAGTGGAGGAGTACTTCTCAAGCCTGATTGGAAGAGATGTCACAGGCTACATCCAAGCACTCCTGCCCCACAAAGTGCTCCTGTTGGAAGCCCCTGACATCAACATCGACTTTGTTAAACATGGGTTTGGGAGGCATGTGGACACAGCTACTTTCCTCCTCTTGGTTGAGATGCTCACGGAGGTGCCACTCAAACAAAATGTTGAACCAGTTCCCGACTTGCTCATTGAAAAGCAGAGGGGACAAGAATTTTGTTTCAAACCATCTGGTTTGCAGGGATACGAAGACATTCTGTCATTCTGTGGGCCAAGATTGAGTTGTGGGACACGTGCTAAAGTGCGTGTAACTGCTGCTGTCAACCCTGGGCTGTTTTACTGTCAGATGGTCAGTATGGAAACCGAACTTTGGGAAATGTCAAAGAAGCTGGCTGCTGTTTGTGAGTACAGAACCAAAGAATGCAATCAGAAGACTCCAGAAAACCTGGGTTTACTGTGCTCAGTTAAAGGCAAAGATGGGAAATGGTATAGAGGCTTTGTGCAGTTTCTCCCAGTTAACTCTCAAGTTAGAGTTTTGTTCATTGACTACGGGTTCATTGAATCTGTCAAAGTTGAGAATGTCCACAGGTTGCCACCTGATTTCGATTCAACACCCATCATGGCGTTCCCATGCTCGCTCTTTTGCCTTAGTGATCAGGAAGAGGCCGTCAAAACTGAGCAGTTGAGCTTTCTCAAGGCAGGCTTGCTTGGAAGAGTGTTAGATGTGGAGATCAAACGTTTTGACAAACAGCAACATCTTTACTCTATCACAGTATTTGGTGCTGAAGATAATCATGTGAAGGGACCTGAGCCCATTCAGGAGCTTCCTAGAATCAAGAGTCAGTCAGTTTTTGAGACAGAAGAACTGTCACCTCAGGGTGGCTATTTATACTATGAGACAATCATGTGTGAAGCATTGGGTAAAACACTGGAAACAGAAGAGGTACAAGTAGACGCTGTCTTTGTGGGTTATGTTGAATATGTTCAAAATCCACACCACTTCTGGATCCGAACACAGAAACGCAATGATGACTTTCAAGAAATGATGAGAGAAATGGCGGATCACTTCAGTGAAATAAAGATGGATGAAGACGTGCTGTTGAATCCTGTGCTTGGGACACTGTGCTGTGCAGTTTATGAGGAAGACATGCATTTCTACAGGGCTGTAGTGACAGACACTCTTGAGCATGGATCTGAGGTCCTTTTCATCGATTTTGGGAACATCGAGAAAGTGCCACACATGTTGATCAAGAAGATACCAAAGACATTTGCCAGCAAATCAGCATTTGCCTTCTGTTGTTCTCTTGCTAATGTTATTCCTTTGGGTGACGTCTGGACAAGCACTACCGGTGACTTTTTCAGAAGAGCTGTGTCAAACAAAGCCCTGCTTGTCCGTGTTGTCCAGATGAGAAAAAACAAATTTGTTGTTGATCTCTATGCAATGGGAAGTGACAATCAAAGTATCACTGAGTTCCTGATCTCTTCAAATCAAGCTGAATACTGGAACAACATTCCCATCGAGCCCATGGTGCCTGAAAAAACAAGGTGCCAACGGTATTGTGTGACATCAGACATGAATGGGAATACAGAGCAATTTGACGATTGGGAGAAGGAAGAGAAAACATGTAAAAATGAAATCCAGAAGACCCAAGCCCCTGCTAGCTTCAAACCATTAAGCATCAAGCCAGGGTGTGAGTTTCCTGTGTGTTGCTCTTACATCAAATCACCAGCAGATTTCTGGTGCCAGCGTCTAGATAAGGTTCCAGCTTTGGAGGGACTTATGGATCAAATTCAGCTATTTTACTCAACTCACACAGTCACCCTCCAATCAGGGGATTCATGTTGTGTTGCCAAGTCACCTGTGGATGGAAGATGGTACAGGGCCTTCATCACAGAGAAACAAAAAGGTCATGCCACGGTAATGTTGGTTGACTATGGCTTTACCATACAAATCAAGGAGCACAATCTTGAAGCAATAATGCCAGAGTTTGTTTGTTTGGAAGGACAAGCCTTCAGGTGCAGCCTTTACAACCTGATCGAACCTGCTGACCCCAAAAACAGTTGGAATTGGGGTCCAGAGGTGTGTAATTCGCTGAAAGGTTTTGTCCATGACAGCACCCGTGGTCTAAGATGTAAAGTTGTCTCTCTGTTAAATGTGAAAAACAAAGGGCTGTGCAATGTTGTTGACCTGTACAACACCCAAACCCAACAGAGCATAACAAATTTGCTCATGGAACAGGGCCTGGCAAGAGAAGCCACAATCTCAACAAAGCAACTGTCAGCAGTGATTCCTGAGTCTTTTGTCTTCTCTTCACATGATATAAGTCCTGGAAATGAAGAACAAGTCTACGTAACTTACGTTAGCAGTCAGTGGGAGTTCTACTGCCACCTTGAGAGAAACACTGACATCATAGAAGAGCTTGAAAAGAAAATCTCTGAGGAGAGTGAGAAAATGATGCAAGCCAGTACGAGAGCTGTTGTGAGGAAGCTGTGCCTGGCAAAATACTTTGATGGCAAATGGTACAGGGGCTTGGCACATCCTGTTCAGTCGCCTCTGCATCTCAGTGTGTTTTTTGTGGACTATGGAAACACAAACATATCTGAGAAAACCCATGTCATGTATATCCCCAGACACTCTACTGATCTGTTGTACACTCCCATGCAGGCTGTGAGATGTAGCCTTGCTTCAGTGTCCAAGAAAGAGCTCTATGCAGATGCCAAGAAATGGCTCCATGATGTAGTCCTCAACAAGCAAGTGAGAGCTCTCATAGTTGGAAAGAACGAAGATGGTTCATTTGATGTTGAACTGTTTGATGGAGATGTTAACATCAATGAGAAGGTAAAGGAGCTCATTCTCAGTCTTTTACCTAAACCAAAGACGGTTGGGAGTGTTGACATAAGCAGCACAAAAACAAAACATAAAACTCTCCACACAAGAAACACAAAGATGTCAGTCAAGCACACAAGTCAACGTGAAGGGCATTCTACACGTTTTCCCACATTGAATGCCAACAGAGGAGCTGCAGTTGGTAGTGTACCACACCGAAAGAAAAACACAAAAGTTCAAGGGATTGCTCAAAGCAAGAACGCAACAGTAAAACAGCAAAATGAGGACAGTACAAAAACCTGTCTCTCTGTAAAACCTCAGAAAAAATCAAAAACTCAATTAATACAACAAAACACAAAGTCAGAACCACCACAATATACAAAGGAAACCGAGATCCCTCAGCTCTTGTGTTTGCCCGACATGAAAGTGAGCAAAGGTTTCAGGGCAAAGTGTTTTGTCTCCCATATCGAATCTGTCAACTGTTTTTTCCTTCAACTGTCAGAAGATGAACCTGCCCTCTTGAAAATGGGAGAAGATCTCAACTCGGTTATCTTCAGAAAGACTACCACACCTTTGAGAATTAATGACCTTGTTCTGGCTGAGTATGAGGAAGACGGCGCTCTTTATCGTTCTGCTGTAAAGGACTATGAAGGAAGTTCCAGTTTCAAAGTTGAGTTTGTGGACTATGGAAACTCAGCAGTCATAGGGATGGAGAAGATCTACTCAATACCAAAGGAGTATCTCTCTCAGCCAAGATTCAGCATACCATGCTCCCTGTTGGACACAAGCACATACAAAAGTGATACTTCTTTCACTGATGCTGTAATGGACAAGCCTCTGGTTGTTGATTTTGTCCGTCAATGTGGCACTCAATGGGAAGTCACTGTTGAGATTCTTGATGGAGTTGGTCTTCCAGCGCCACTTGATGCCGCTGTTGAAAGTAGCACTGAAACTGAAAAGGAAGAGGAGCCATCTGCTAGTTCATCTGAAATAAAAGAAAGTGTGAGATCCTGCGAACAGAACTACGTAAGAGAAGTGGCTAAAAATGAAACTGCTAAAGAAAGAATGATGCCTACTGTTGATAAACCACCACCACCTACCTGTCACCCAAAACTGAATGTAAGAATCTGCAGGAGCCATAGAAGAAGACCCACCAGATACAAGTGTTATTCTCAGAAGAATCCAAGGAAAAGCGAGGAATCCTCTGTCGAAGCCAAGAGTGATTGTACAGATGGAATCATACCACTAACTATTCAAGCCAAAGACACAGAAAATTGTAGAATTCTGTCGGTTCTGAGTAACAGCAACTTTTACGTCAGACTAAATAGGACCAATGAAGCGCTCTCTGCATTGAAAAGTCGCATAGCTGACAACCTACACAAGTACGAGATAGTGGCTGAAGAAGAGGTCCAACAAGGCTTCAAGTGTTTAGTTCAAGTACACAAGGACAAGCAGTGGCACAGGGCTACTGTTCAACATGTATGCCAGGGGAAATGCCAGGTCCTCCTCATGGATCATGGAACAACAGAAGAAATTCCAAGTTGCTCAATCAGACGACAGGATAGTAACCTGACAAACATCCCAAACCTTGCAGTTCAGTGCAAGGTGAACTGCTTTGGGTTCAGTGAGGGAGAGGGTGCTTACAAATCGTGGTGTGAAACTCTCAAGCCAATGATAGGCAAAGAAGTCAAGCTGGTGTTTGTGTGTTATTCAGAAGCTGATAAACTCTGGAGTGTTGAAATAATCATGAATGGACTGTTCCTCATTCGTCAAATCACAACCTCACTGCAGCAGGATGAAGAGATGATCCCACCTCCCGCTGAAACCAGAAACGACGAAGCAGAAGGAAAATCGACCTTGGACACAAGCCAACCTCAGCAACTTGTCTTCGCTCCCATTGATACAGACAAAGCGTACTCTGGCTTTGCTGCTGCAGTGACAACTCCCTTCGAGTTTTGTGTTGTTCTGGAGGACTTGCTTCTTGTCATGAGCAAAGTGTCCTTAATGTTGGACGACCTACCTGAGCAGATGTCTCCTCTTCCTGAAGCCAACCTCGTCCCTGGCACCTGCTGCCTTTTGAAATCAGACACCAAGAACAAGTGGTGCAGGGCAGAAATTGTACACTTTGACCCCACAGCGATCCTAAACCTGGTGGATTACGGCCATTACGAATGCGTGCCATATGAAAACTTCTCCAAGCTGAAGAGGCTTCCAGTGGAGCTAACGTCCCTGCCCAAGGTGACGTACCCTTGCATCATGAGAGGGGTGAAGCCGGTTGGAGCGGACGGACAGTGGACCGATGAAGCAGCAGTCTTCTTCCAGCAGTGTTTGTGTCAGAAGAATCTCCAAATCTTCTTCAGAGAGTTTGTGTCAAACACACACTGGAAGGTGGACATTCTGGCCGACGGAGTCCATGTTGCCAAGGAGCTGGTGGATGCTGGACACGCCGGTTATATAGACGTCATGCTAGGACTCAGGTATGCTCTTATTGCTTTGTATTTATGTCTTAAATACACTTTCATTGAAGCAACTTATCATCCATTAAGCTCGTATTTTCACTTTTTCATTTTGAGATCGGTGAAACAGTAGAAAAATATTATATAGACAGATTTTATTCATGAATGAACACTGTTTGGGCTCAATGTTTTAAAAAAGAAGAGAAAATAGGGCAGTTAATTATAAACTAACAGTCACTTCTTGCAAGAGGAAATGTTTTAATGCTTTGGAAAGTTTAAACTACTACAAAATATTTTCCAAACAGGAAAAATCTGGCGTATAAAAAAAGAAAAATCACAATTTTACTGCTAAGACAGGAAAAAGACAAATGTGTCTATTCCATTTTCTGTACCTTACTTCTGATACATTCAGGTTCCAGGAACAAAGCCCCTGTAAAGCTGCTTCTCATAGCCCTGGTAGTGAGGAAGAGTGTGGTGAGGAAGAAGTCGTCTCGGACAGGAAGTCATGTCCTTTCTGTTGAGTCTACCGATGAAGCAGAGGAGAAGATACCGCGATCTAGGGAATGTAAGAATACTATTTACACATTTGAACACGTTTAGTTTTTTGGCATCAAGTGAAAGTGCTTGTTGATGCCAACATCTGCCAGCCATTGGCTTCCGTTGTTTCCAGAATCTAGGACTGGTTTCCTTTTTGTAGTGAATGTTTAGGTTTAAGATTTCCTTTTTGTAAACGATTGTTGCATCCACATTCACGTGAAAGCAGAGAGCCACACCCTCATAAAAATTTATTTTCAACATACATGAACACAAATCTGATATTTACATAATAGCTTATATCTTATATATATAATTTATCTGTATCCTTTATTGTTTATCATTTATCCGGTTGTATCATGTCTGTCTAATGTCTGAGTTGTTTGTTTTTATATTTTTTGTCGAGCAATTCTCAAATCGTCTCAAATAAAGTAACAACTGCAAGCAACAGCAAATAAAGTAACCTAACCTGTATCTTATAAAGACAACCAATCAAACGATTCCAAAAAGCAAGAAAGCAAACAAACAGAACAAATAACGACAAAAAAAAAGCTCTTACCTGCTTGTAACATTTCATTGTCTATAGTTCTTCAGAACATAGTTGCTACAAAGTGTGACCACAGGATCCAAAATTAAGTTGTAAACTGAGAAAATGTAGCAGCCAACAGTATTTTTTACTGGCCATAAAACTTAGACTTAGACTTTCTTTATTTGTCATTTAGATTTGCATCAAAAATGAAATTGCGTTGCAATGGCACATAGCACAACAGGAATAGAGGAGAGGCAGTATGAACAGTCAAAAAAATAGATATCCAAATATCAAACTTTTTAATATAAAAAAAGAGAAGAGAAACCCGTAGATAATATGTATTGCACAATTTTAGTTGTCTATTGTAAAAGAACTTTAGACTAATTACCTATTAAAGCCAGAATCACAAGGTTCCTTTGTCACAAAAAACTTTGTGACATAGTCATAGGTTACGAGCGCTTCTCCAGACCTTGTTCTGTTTATTATTGAACTACAGCTTTGATCCATACTGCAAGCTAGGGAACCAGATAATGTCTCAATTAAACACCAAACTCTATAGCTAGAATAAATATTACTCAATGTCAAACTCCATGATTTGGAAAATGGTGGGCAGTTATGTACAGTAACCTAACAGTAGTCTACAGCAGTGGTTCACAAGATGAAAAATGAAAGATTAAAATCAAATCCTTCAAATAAAACTGTCTGATGAGGAAAAACAACCATTTGTAGCTTATGATTCAGGGTCACATGCAGATATAGCTCCATTTTAAGGGCTCTCAAGCCGTAAGTTCTACAGTTCTGTCACTTTGTTTTGTTCTCCTCCAGGTTTTCTGATGTGAACTGTCTGGTTGGTCGGCTAAAATGAGCAGAGAGGGTCCGGCTGTACGTTAACTGGACACAGCGATTCCTGTGAACCAGCGTCCGATTAATGCAAGTGAGATGCTTCTTGTTGGATGTTTTACCTGAATGTCGAGCACTCTGAGTGAGAACTGCTGTAGAAATCTACAAAAAAAAAGGGATTAATGTGAATTGACTAGTATTTATTTATGACGAAACTGATTTATTTTGTTGCCTTTCAGTACCTGTTGAAGATATAAGTCAGCAGCACCATGTTTATTTCTTTTAAGTCACCAGAAGTCTGTTAGTGAACAGTTCAAATATCTTTTTCACTTGTCTCTTATAGTTTAAAGGAGTTGTTGTCATCGTACATTAATGTTTCATGTGTTGATGGATGTTAAGTTCATTTTGTGTATATATTTTATAGTTTAGAATGCTGTATGTTATATTAAATGGGACAATGAGAGCTGCAGTGTTTGCCTTGATGAGGTGAACTAAATATAAAGTAGCCAATCAGACATTTTGTTTGAATTAATTTTAGATTACACATTTTATATGACATTTGTAAATGGATCTACTTTGTACATTTTGAGTTTTGTGAGAAATATTTTTTCTAGGTTAAACAAACTGAAGCAGTTACTGACTGTTGAGTGCTTCTTGTAGTTTGGTTTCAGCCTTTTTACAGTTGGTTGTGTTTAATAAATATTAAGGTGAATGCAATGAATCCTTTTCAGTTGCAAAATTAAATCTTTTTTGAGATGAACTAGTAGTGGTTAATTGGGGGTGTGGGGAAATCTGAAACACAGAAAGTGTCCTCAGTTATAAACTGTGACTTCAGCACACTGCTCATGTTCCAACAGTGGAGGGCGCTGTTGGGCCAGGATTGTTTGTTCACAGTAAGTCCTGTTCCTGGTGCTGCTGTTTGACACTTTATCATGCATTAATACAAACTCTGCAAAAAAGAGAAAAAAAATAATAATAATGTGTAATTAATGCAGAGAATTGGCACCAAATGAGTCACTGAAAGAATGTAGGCTGAATGTCCAGCTGTGTAAACCATCTATTGTGGATTAAAGAAAAGGTTCTTGTCAGAAGTGGGATTCGAACCCACGCCTCCAGAGGAGACTGCGACCTGAACGCAGCGCCTTAGACCGCTCGGCCATCCTGACGTGTGAATCCGTGGAACGTGCACTTGGGATTTAATCGATGAGCTGTGCGTAGCGTTCTAGAACTCGAAGAGAACGTCACGTCATTAACGTTACACTTAACGTTAGACCGCCAGCTACTATTATTATGTTATTATTATTATTATTATTATTATTATTATTAAATTAATTCAATACGAACGTTATTATCGAAAACTTTGACGAGCGCATCCGGTTGTTCACTTCCGGGTTAATTGTTCTAAACGCGCGTTTAAAACAATTAAACATCGGACAGTGAGTGAAACGAACAGTCTCTTAAGACTCTGTATTAGCTTTAAAAGTAGTGACTGCTAATCAGTGGAACCGTTACAGATAATGTAACTTCCCGCAGTTCACTGAATATACCCATCCCAAGTGGAAGGAGCAGTGGGCAGCCACTGTGCAACGCCCGGGAACCAACTCCACTTCTAACCCAGCGCTTTGGTCAAGAGACAAAGAGAGTAAAATGAGCCTAACATTCATTTTCTGATGGCGGGGTAAAATACGCAAACTACACAGAAAGGTCCCGCCAGAGCCGGGAGTCGAACTCGCGACCATCTACCACAAAACACCAGCGTTCGAAATCATACCTATAGTTCCAAGTATTTGCAACAAAATGGACTTAAAGTATCAAAATACACTTTAAGAATTCCCCCCCGTCAGTGTAAACATTATTATTGATGCATTCCACCGAATCGGTGCCTTCTCTGACCATAGGACATGACATGCATTCAAATCTATATATTGTTAAATGTCTTTCACTTTTCTCGAATTGTAATTTTTAATTTAAAAAAAAAAAAACTTTATGATATTGGAAAATTACAAATAAACAATCATATTCTCTGTTGTACAAATAACCATAGAAAAACAATCCCAACAAGAAAAAGACAAAGACAGACCAAACCCAAAATCAACAGACGGACAAACAAACAAACAAGTGCACCTAACATTCCTTATTACAGGACTGACCAAGGGCAGGTGTAAACATTCAGAGTTCCAGTTCCAGACCAGATACATTGTTCACATAAGTTATCAGAGGGTCCCAGGTTCTGTAGAATCTGCTGATGGAACCGTTGAGGGTTTCCAACGTCTCTAACCAGTGGTGGTGTGATGGAGGAGTAGCAGTCTTCCATTTAAATAAAATCAAGCGTGTTATGTTCTGTTAATGTTATAAGCGTAGGCATTAGAGATGACTTCAAAAAAGGATGAGTTGTTGGTGAGTGAATAGAAATACTCTGAATACCCAGACATCTGTTGAACGGATTTACGATGCGCAGTGATTGAGTTACAATTACATTATCCTTAATGTTATGAAGTAGTGAAGGTAGGGGTGCGCAGAGTAAAGCAGGGAGTGAGTGTGGGCTGCTTGTAACCTCCTCAATCTGGAGCCCTGCAGGGATCCTATCATTCCACTCTTTTAACCACAGAGACATGGCATTCAAATTCACAGCCCAATAATACGTGCGCAAATTTGGAGGTGAAAGCCCACCTACACCTTTTTGGTCTTTTCTTATGCGAGTTGATTTATTATTCCATATAAAGGAAGAAATCATTTGATTAAACGCCTTGAAAAACGATTGTGGTATAAAAACAGGCACCGACTGAAATAAATATAGAAACTTTGGTACAATATTCATCTTACAGAATTGTGAATGAAACATTTGCCCTACCCATTCTTTGTGAATTTTAGACTGGTCTTGATTTTGAAGGTGGGTTTCCTGTAGGAAAGCAATACCAACCCCAAGATATTGTAAGTGAGAGAGAACCCTTTTTCTCTTGATTGTCTGATTCAGACCCCTCACATTCCAGCTTATCATTTTCATGTCATCTCTGTGTCATTAGAACCACTCAATTCAAAAATACCTGCGTCTACCGCATTTAGATGAAAAAAAAAAAAAAAACGGATAGGTGAGTTTGGGTTGGGTAGTGCAGAGTGGGTTGGGTAGTAGAGGCCGAACCGGATCTTTGCGACGTGGAGCTTCTGTTTGGACTCGGAGAAGGCTGTGCGTCGTTTGTGGACATCCGGGCTGTAAGTCAGGACAGACGTGAAATCTTGATCCGTTGAAGGAGAGCGGGGCCCTTCTGTCTGGCGAGCCGTGGGATCAACTCTTTTGGTTTGAAGGTGATGGAGCTCGACAGTGGCTGGTTTTGGGGCCAAACTCCTGCGGGCTCTATCCACCGACGGCGGCTTCTCAAAACTGTCTTCCCCAAGCACATGGATGAGTAGTTTGGTGATGAATTCTGGGAGGCATTCATCCACTCATAAAGTAGTAAAGTCACTTAGTGTGTGTTTCCAACGAGCTCCAAAATGTCTAAACTTGACAGATTTCTGCGGGAACTGTGGAAGACACATCCACTCACTACTCATGCTCAACACACTCTTATTGTCATTTTAAGATCCATACAGCCCACTCCCACTCTCTAACTCTACACTTCACCATGAAATATGATTCTTCATCTTTCAGAAATGTTGTATTTTTTTGTATTATTGTCTTTTTTTTTGGGACCAACTTTCATCTGAAATTCCTAATATATTAGTTAAAATACACATTTCAGTCCAGCCCCCAGTTTTTCACTCAACTAACAGACCTCTCCTCTACAGACTGGGGAGAGTTCACAGTGCAACAAGAAACTGCTTCATTTGAGTTAACTAAAAAATTAATAGAAATAATGTAATGTAATAGAAATTGTCATTTTGACGTTTTATACACTACATCAGTGTCATCATTTCATTTTAATGCGGTTTTGTGGATAAAGTCTTAATCTAAAAAGGTTGATTAACTCCAGTGTAGCTGTCAGAAAATGGAGTGGTTTAAAAGGAAGGTCTGCTCAGAAATGCAGAAGCATTAGAACATTGAAATAACCCATGAAATCAGTTTAAATCGCAGCTCGTTCGTAGCTTTCCTGTGAAATAATCAGCACACACAATTACTGCAATGACAGAAGAACACACCTCCAGCCTGCACTGTTGAAAAATCTGTATTTATTAATGATTTACAAAAGGCTAAACATGAAACCATTTAAATGATTCAGTTCATTTTTGAAACCTAAAAAGGAGTAGTAGTAGTTTTTGTGGGGAGGAGGAGAGGAGACACGTCTGTAAGTTTTTTTTTTTTTTTTTTTTTTAACAGGTCAGTTATCATAACAGCATTTTATCTCATCATGTAGAATCGGTTTTAGTGGAGGCTCCTGGAGAGAAAAATAAAATAAAACCACACACAGGATGGAGTCACTCAAACAAACTGCGGAAGAGAGATACATTTGAAACTTCACTATTTTTTTTTTTACTCTTATTTTTTGCCTTTAAACTTTGGGGTTTCCTTTTCTACATCAGCAGAGCAGCAGCGGTGGTGAACGTGGGATTATGGAAATTGTGTGTATAACATATTTGTACAATCACAATTCTGTCAGCTCGACTCCAGTCCTAAAACCCCCCAAAAACAAACAAACATCTGGATCTCCCCGAACTACAGCTGGTGTAAAAACAGAACACTTTCCTGCCTCTAACGCAGAAAAACAGAGATTATTACCACAGTACGAGAGGTCCCAAATGTAATCCACTTCTCACAACAGTTTGCAGATACATATTTAATATTAAAAACAAGGTTGTTTTTTGTGCAAGTATGTTTTTTCCCCCCACAAGGTTTCTAAATAAATATCTGTAAAGCAAACAAGGACTTAAAGAGTAGTTTTCTTTTTTTTTTTTATTGTGAAAAACCAACATTAATCACATTGTGAGTGAAAGAAATCCTTTTTCTGGCTTGAATTTAGGGTACAATCAATCAAAGTTAATCTCACACAACTCTGCAAAAAAAAAAAAAAAGACTATTAGATTTAAAAGAAGGTAAAATTAAAGTTCCCTCAGATTGGGGGGAGGAACATTTAAAAATTCTACTCCACTGACAGTGAGGAGCAGCGGGGGGGGACAGTCCAGTTTTAGAATAACTTCCTGTTGGATTATCTGTCACCAAAATGTTAAATCACATTAGTTTTTGCAGTTTTTAGTAGCCTGGCAGGTTTCTACAGTAGTAAAAGAGTGAGACAGTTGTGGACCCAAATATTTACAGTAATGTTGTGCACTTAAAGATCCTCCTCTGGACTGTTTCGATCCTCCTCTGGAGAATCTTTTTCAGAGTTTTTATCTAAAACATCACAAAAAAAAAAAAAAAGAAATAAATCCCATGCTTTCTCGCTACGGAATGAAATAACAGTGTTTCCACTCACTGAGAATTTATTTAAAAAATAAAAAATAAGAGATTGGTCTGGAGCTCAACCGTGGGGCATTTCTGCTGGCGAGGAGGAATTAAAAGTGTGAAAACCAACATGATGCAGAAAAAGAGCATAAAATAACACCATAAAATTGTTCATATTTCAGTGAGCTATTTAAAAAAAAAAAAAAAAAACAACTTAAAATGAGAACAAACCTTTCTCCGCCCCTCGCCCCAAGAACCATTTTATAAACAAAAATATATCCCCCTTTGTCGTGTGATTCTCAAATTCTCACTAGATACAATTAAAACTTTTTTACAGTGCTTTATCATTATATATCTTTGACAGACCTTAACGAGGGGAAGAAAAG